TGAGTATTAGATTAATTTTGAAGTGTTGTTTTCCACAGATTTGATCGATTTCAGGTTCGATATGTGGATAACTATTCTCCGTCGACGTTGACTGGTTATTGCACTACACACATCAAGAATTGGTAGAAGTTAGAATCCATGAGTCATTGAATACCGTCTCCGGAGATGAGTAGCCAACAAACTGACGTCATAACCTGAAAGTCGTGCGTTCAACTTATAGTGGTGGTAGGGTGCGTACTGTTGAAGAGTTCTAAACTAGTAGGAGACAGCTACCAGTACTCCTTGGTTTCCACTGGTGATCTAACTGATATCAACTCGTGACGTAACTTGAAACCACTAAACATTCATAGTTTTCAATCTCTAATGATTAGTTAATTGATTAACGGAAATTGTAACGCCCTTATTATAAGACTATATAGCCAAGATCTGAAGAATAAGTACATTGGTCATGGAATCTATATTCGTCGGGTTGGTAGTAGGAATGTGTAACAGAAATAACCTAACATCATTTCTGAAAACATATATTACAAGTTCTATCACTAATTAAAACAACTTTGATTACCAAGTCACTTGATATGATTATGAGCAGCAATAAATTGTGCTCGAAACGTCATCAGTAAATATTACTGTATAACACTGTGAGACTTTATCAAAATAAATTTTATCTATAATGTAATTATACTCTACCACAGTGCACAAGTTTTATTCTTATATCTACGCCGTTTTGTTTATTTCTGTTCAACGCCGATAATTAGATGAAAATATTGGAGATAACGACCTCCTAAACACAAAAAATTGTTTTGTAGTAAATTTGTTTACATTCAATCACTAAGTCTTATAGTCTATCCTACCCTGGTGATAGCTAAGCTGTTACTATATCATCACTTTTTTTTTTTTTCTCGTAGCCTATTTAAACACTGTTTATTCAAAATGAGTCGATTGCAATTACATTACATTCCTACTAATGGATTTTGCTCAAGAAAGCATCATTGTATCGATTGTGTGTACGTTTATTTATGTGGGTATGTGTGTCAGTAAAAGCGGGTAATTCAAGATTGTTATGAATTTCAAATTTCACTCATAAACATTCACAGCTAATCATAACTATTCAATGAGGATGTTTAGAAACTTTCTTTATATCCTTACACTTTAATTGTATTTACTTTAGAAGTAGTTACTTCAGGTTTAAAAGTAACAGTTAAGTGATATTAGAGCAAACTGTTGGATAAAAGTTATCCACAGATGTCAATGTGCGTCGGTGGCACAGAGATAAAATGCTCGCCTACCACGCATGTGGTCCGGGGTTCTATTCCCGGCCACCGACGCACTCCTTTACCTCGCTAAGGCAGTAATAAGACTGGTAAAGAGGGAATGTTGGGCATGAGGCTAGCAACCCCATCCCGTGAAAATAAACACTACTGTTACAGAAACTTCAAGCTTGAAGCCCTATGTTCCACTGGGAACGTGAAGGAATAAAAAAGATGTCAATAGTTGGTAATGGGATGACAGATAGAAGTAGAATTAAAGTAGAAAGGAAATAAGTATAAAAATATTAAAATTTAAATAAAGGGCAACTAGAAGATTAAGATCAAAAGACATCTACCCCCCCCCCAAACCAACCTATCAAATCAAAGGCCCCCAAGGAAAGCACAAAGAAAATCGCCCTCCCATACATAAAAGACATCTCAGAAATCATTACAAGACTCTTCAAACCTTCAGGAATTGACGTCACACACAAACCAACAAAGTCAGTTCACTCAGTTGGCTCTGTGTCAACCAAAAGACTCAACGGTGAAAGAAGATAAAACCAACATCATCTACAAAATAAATTGTAACAACTGCGAAAAAATACTATATTGGCTAAAGTGGACTTTTCTTTTGTTTTCGTATCCATGAACATAAGCTAGCCGTCAAAATACATGACGTCCACTCCTTCACTCACATCACTACATGCATACAACCACGGACATCAATTCGACTGGGACAACGTTCAAATATTAGACAGAGAAAACACCAAGAATGCTAGCGAATATTTAGAAGCCTGGTATTCCAGTGAATTGTCAATCAACAGAGACACATTGACATAGACACAATTTACCGATCGATAAGAAGGAAATCTCATTCACAAAGGGCCAAACTGCAGTTCAAGGAAACAATTAGTTCCAATACAAGTATCCTAGAGGGTATGAAAACACACAAAAACAACTAATCACATTCAAGGCCACCAGGAGAGATGACTAATGGACTTGTGGAGAAATCTAAAAGCTCGCTTCAAATTGAAGTATGCACTGAAGATCTTGCCTAATAGGGTAATGGAATCCTCGCAAATAAACTATCCAGCTCAGAGAACAGAAATATATCAAGATATTGATGTATGGCTCTGACACATTGGTCTATGCATTTAACTGTAATCTAATAAATCACAAGATCAAAAACAAACCCATCTACTGCTTTTTTGGGCAGTAAAGGAATTTCATGAGTTCTAACATAACAAATGTGATTCTTCACAAAATGGATGAAGAGTGCTTTATTTTTCTTAATTACTTTATTCCTTTACATTCCGAGTGGAACACTGGGCTTCAAAGGTACAGGTTTAGAGTTTTGGTAGTAGTAATTTCATTTTTACCGAGTGGGGTTACTAGCCTCATGTCAAGTCTTCACTATTTACCAGCTTTACTGCCTTCTTTTAGAGGTTTAGGAGTGCGTCGTCCGGGGATCCAAACCCAAACCACGTATGTGGCTGGCGAGCACTCTTCCACCGAACCACCGACGCACGGTTGTAGAATAATATGAAAATTTTCAACAGTTAGTTTGTAGGGATTTGGTTTTTTTACAAGTCTGATCATGAACTGATATCGATTAGAGAACCGTTGAAGAACCAGGGAAGTCGTCACCAGTGGGGTACAGCTGTTCGGGTATGAGGACAAATACTAGCCGATGACATTGGCTTGTGGTTGCGCACTATCATAAATTAGCAGGAGTTGGAATTCATGGACTATCTATTGGATCGGGTCCCAGTAGCTTAATGGTCTACGAGTTCACCTTGTAACCAGAAGGTCCCGGTTTCGAAACTCAGTGGGTATGAGGAGTCTCGAACTTAGACGAAACATCTGTCCAGTACTCCCAAGTGGTTTTTCAATTGTTCTCTAATCGATGTCAATTCAAAATGAAATCGTGAAACCAATCAAGCCCCCACTGATAGCCAGGGAGTACTGGACATCTGTTTCGTCTTAGTTCGGGTTCTTCAGAATTCCTTCACTATAACGCTACGTGGGATAGAACCTAAGAACTTCAAGCTGCAGGACCAATCTCCTTGACCATTCAGCCCAGCGGACTGGAATCCAACGACCCGTGCTGAAGAGTCGTAAGTCAGGACGAAACAGTTATCCAGTACACCCTAGTTACAAGCAATTCTTTAAATGATATCAGTCCATGATCAAGCTTGAAATATAATTGTTACTAAGTGAAACCAATTAGAAAGTCAAAAAAATACGAACTTCTCTAAGGTTTCAGACATACCTTGTTGATGAATGTTAAAAAGTATGAAGCCCATGTCTAGAATACCAAGAGAACTACAGAGCACTAGGCTTACGTTCCAGTTGGTCTAATGATCACACAGCATATTTACTTGATCGATAGATTCCTATCCACACACCTGGAAATAGACAGATACATTGGTCACAATTAAGAGGTCAGTTCACATCGATGCATCACGACACCTATCATGTCATATCATAGAGTTTATCTAGAGCTAAGTTGTGTGTCGTTTGGTTTAGTTAAGAACAACAGAAGACAAAAAATGGAATACTAACTTTCTACACGTATATTACAAATACTTGTCGTTTACGTGGTTGAATAATCCCTGAAGTCTTAGCTGAAAATTTTTTTATTGTTTCTGAGCCTTTCAGAGTATTCAAGTCATTTGATGACATGGAAATAACACAAAATAGTTCTGCGAAGAGACGCTTTCAGAGATTTTATTCACTTACATATCTGTACCATCATAATTATAAATTCAGTTTTAGAACACGACATTCAGAGAAGAGACTGCTCAACAAAATTATTATCAAACTGCACATGTATATGATTATTAAGAAACTGTATTCTTGAGGAATTCTAAACGAAATGTGTGAATTTAATTGGTGGATGGTGACTAGCAGTGGAACCGAGGATGCTCATTTCGTCCTATTTGGGACTCGTCATTTGGATGTACCTGCATTCCACAGTGAGTGATGATGTTCCCACCGAGGCTCAAACTGACTGCCCATAGTTTCAAACCCTAAAGCGTTATCCACTAGACTACTTGGGACACGAGAGCCACCTCTTGTGCAACAGGTCATATTGATTATTTAATTGAATTTTAGATTTTCCCGTCAATTGATTGGACCGAAGCGCTCGGTCTCAGGTCGACATGTCGGCTTCTTGTGCAGATGCTTCTAACTACATGCTTGGACATCGTCGAAGCACTGTGAGACTTTATCAAAACAAAATTTACCCATAATGGAATTACACTCTACCACAGCGCACAAGTTTTATTATTATATCAATGAAACAAAATAATCTGACCAGATTTTGTTGTGTGAATAGAATGTAATAAGATGCTACAATTAGTTAATTGAACAATCCCTTCACAATTTCATCACAATGAATCTTAGCAGAACTAGGCGTCTCTGTTATCCATCAATCGATATCTAGATAATACTACGGATAACACCGTTCAGAATTATATTACTTTGATCAACAAATTTTCTTCTAAGTTTCACCATTCTTCAATTTTCTAGCATTAATTTTATTCAATTATTCACATTTAAAAACATTGACCAAATACACCAATCAATGAACAAGGATATGCAATGGTGATAGGGTGATTCTAATCCAATCCATAAAGCGAGTGAATTTGGAGTGAAGCTAAGCTACTGTGACCGTCTACCAAACTCACTTGTGATTGGCTTATTAATTTGTACACTAAGTTGCATATATAGTCCATGTTTAGTCACGCCCTATCATCATATTTTGTTTCACGTTTTCGTGTTTTGATTATTAACCCGTTAGAATGTCAGAGAGAAAGGCTGTTATTAAAAATGCTGATATGACTGAAGAAATGCAGAGTGAAGTAGTACAAATTTGTAGTGATGGCTTGGATAAATTTAATATTGAAAAGGATATTGCTGCTTATATCAAGAAAGAATGCGACAAGAAGTACAGTCCAACATGGCATTGCATAGTTGGAAGGAATTTTGGCAGGTAAGTAGTAAGATAATCAGTTTGTTTTTCGTGTTTTATGCTTATTAAGGACTAGTAGGATATATGTAGTACTATTGTAACACCACATTCAATTTTATGGTTTTTATTTATGTCATAAAGAAAAGCGATCGAAGAGAGCGAACGCACCAATGATTCTGAAACGGTCAGGCCCTCACTAAATCCTAAGCATATAATCTTCCCCTGTATCCTAGCGTTCGTTCCCCCAGGTCGCTGTTCTGCAACTTGACCATATTTCGTACAACAGAGTCGAAAGACTTTGAGGAAAACATTAACCCTGACCATGGCAGCGACATATGTATAACTTAAACTGCGAACCACCTTTAGGATCTATCGGAGCTCTGGTTGGCAAGTGACAATGCGAAGTATAACGGCAAAGGATTTCTACATTGTACTGTATATTACATGAATATTAGTACAGTGAAGCTGTATGGATTTGATTTTACCTAGTATTTTCAGATAGTTAAACTGAGCAATAACAAAAAGGGTATTTGAAAATATAACAACGGAATAAAGTATGACTTGTTTTACTTTATTTGTTGTCACTGTACAGTTCAAGTCGCCCCGTATTATACGAGAACCCCGCTACTCCTACGAAAAACTTGTAAGAGAAATTAGAGCTGTGCACATGGAGTCGCGAACCTCCACGTGTTATAATAATGATAAACGAATGTTTGGGATGTAAACTGTTTAAGGATGTTTTTACTGTGGATTTTAATTGACTAGTGGCACTATCTGTTGTCGAGCTTACGTTTACACTGGATCATAACATAACGGTTATATTGTCAATCCTGCCTTCAGTGTACACCCGTTATGCTGAAATCTGGAAAGTCATAGCAACCAAACGTCTAGCAATGGTCTTGTATTTATCGATTAATCCTACGTGTTTTTTCATGTCCATTTACTTTCTCTCATTTTGTACATTTGATTAAACATGTCTCACTAAGAATGACCTTTTCTTAATTTTGGGTCACCTAACTCTTTTCGTTGTGTTTGTTGTCAACAAAACAGTCTACGTGAGACCGGTCAGATTTATGGCCTAGTTCATTTTTGTTCCAAGTCTAAATTTGAGTAACATTGGAGACATTTCATTGGCTTAGATCTATTCATTATAATTCACAACTGTTTTTCTCTTTTTTTTGCAGCTATGTGACACACGAGACCAAACACTTTATCTATTTGTATCTTGGACAAGTTGCGATCCTGCTTTTTAAATCTGGTTGATTGATTTATCTCTTATATATATACATATAAAATTTTCTAAAAGATTCTATTTCGTGTGTTTTTGCTTAACTTCCTTTCGATTGTGGTTAGACGGTGACTGTGTATTTATTGCACAATCAGGATTGCGAATAGATGAGAAAGTTATGCCGTTGGATTATTAATACATGACCACAGTGGACTTCTGAACTTGGATTTACAGTGAGGATAAGGCCTTACATTCAATAACAGTGGATAGATTTCGCGTTAGGTCACATATTGACATAAGTTAGATAATCATTAAAAACTAAGGAGTACAAGACAGCTGTTTCGTCCTAGTGTGCGACTCTTCATGAGTACCCAACTAATACCCCACTGGAGATTGAACTTGGGGAATTCAGGTTACAAGGTGAACTCGCTGGTGATTCAGTCATTAGCTCATGAATTTTAACCTCTACCGATTTACGATATGCAGTACCTATGTCATCAACTCCATCTTGTTGTCAATCTCCAGTGAGCATCAGATTATCTGGAGCGGTGATTACACACTTGTTTACTTTTAAGTCAGTCACACTTGACGAATTAACCGTGACTGTTATAAGTAGATCGATTTGGTCTTGTCATAGCAACCGTTATTAGTATGCCTCAAATATCCTTCATTAATATTAGGAGATAATGCCAGTCGTGGAGCTATTTATTCAGAAGTATGATTTCTTTTCGAATACTTTCATCGTGGGACCTTACATCACTCAATTAGGGACAGGGTTGCTTTTCGTAAAGACTGGTTATTCGATAAGTATTATACCGGATAATCTAGTACTTACTGTTTTCCCGTTGAAGTGGTAGGTCTTTCAGAGTATTCAAAACCGTGTGACACTCCCTACAGTATAACTTCGTAGATTAATCAAATATAATTAATTGTTACTGGTCTCTCGGAGATGATGCCTCTTCCTTGAGTGATGTGATACTGTACTGGTCTCTTAAAAAGTTGTAATTCATGTATAATCAATACTTACATCCGAAATAAGTTATGATTAAATTTAAAGCAGATTAAAGTAAAAGTGAACTGAGGCATTCTAGTTTGACTGCTTCCATCAAGCGCCTTGTTCAAACAAATGAAGTTATCCTACTTCTAAATCACAATGTTTGATGGAGGTATATTGGGACATTTCAATAATGTTTCACTTCGCTGTTGTCAGTGCATGATTGTTTATTATAGGAAATTCATTGAAAAAAGTTCTTTAGCATCTAACAAGAAACACCTTTCAAGTGTTGGTTTGTAGGGATTTGATTGGTTACAGGATTTCATCATGAGCTGACATTGGTTAGAGAACAATTGGAAAACCTGGGAGTACTGTACAACCGTTTCGTCCCGGTTTGGGACTCTTCAGTAGTACGCACCCATCGGGATTCGAACCCGGGACCTTCTGGTTACGAGGCGAGCTCGTATACCATTAAGCCACTGGGACCCGATCCAATGGCCCATGAACTGTTTTAACAGTGTGTGTTTCACTTAAGACAAAAATGTGTGTATTGAATCCTGCTGTCTCTGATTACGCTTTCGTTCAGGCTTAGGTCATACCACTGCAAACGTATCCGTGTACTCGTTCCAAGCTAATGATGACCAAGTTTCAGTTGAATAGTTACCTATCTCCCAGTTATAAATAGTCACTCTTCGGGATTATGATAATGTACACGAACGGCTGAATTACCACTGGAGCTTAACTAATTAGTGTTGTATCCATGCTAGGTATCCATTAGCTCAAATCTCATTATGTCATTCACGAAGAATGTAAACAACTTTATTACTAGAATGTTTATAAAAGTAGAAAGAAAACTGTTGGTCAAGATTTGACAGAATGGTTCTAAAATATTTGGGCGCCGAGTGAGAAGTAGACATTTGTAAAAAATTATATATAAACCTCTGTTATGTTAATTTCGATTAATTTCCCTGAAGAAGTTCGGACCGGATTGCCGAACCAAACGTTGGAATTACTTATTTCAATCTCGCTGAGATTTTACAAATATTATCTTTAACAAATATCAACTTCTCACTCGGCGCCCAAATATTTTAGAACTATTCTGTCAAATCTTGACGACAGTTCATTTGAATTATTTTGCAATCGAATTAAATTAACAAAGAAACTATGTAATTGGCACAATCATCGTGTTTTCACTCTCCGTTGTCTGCAACAGAATGCATATCCTAAATCTGTAGCTGTCGAGTCACCTGACAACTCCAGTAGGTGGAATAAAGCAGCTCAATATTCAGAAAGAAGACAAAGCAATAAGTCCAGCAGGGTGCTTCCACTAAACTCTAATCGTAAACACCATTAACTTGAAAATACGTCTAATCATAAAATTCTAGATACTAACAGTATGAACAGCCATGAAGGCGTGATGTTAGCTGATGCATAGGAAATCCTTATTAATAAATAAAAAATGGATATGTACCACTAATTATTAATCCTTGGTCAAAATTCTCGACTGTCCATATCTTCTTATGGAGACGTTAAGAAATGTTTTACAACTATTTACACACACACACACGCATGCACACTCTGTTTAAAGTGTTTAACAAAGGTAGACCAATATTTGTAAGTCCGGGGTCAAATTTCGATCACAGCTCATAAAATTTTGTTTACTATACTTGTTGAATGACTCATGATTGGACAAAGTTTTTAAAAACAAGTGATGTTCCTTTTATATATAAACCTCTGTTATGGTTAATTTCGATTAATTTCCCTGAAGAAGTTCGGACCAGATTGCCGAACGAAACGTTGGAATTAATCATTTCAATCTCGCTGAGATTTTACAAATATAATTTTTTACAAAACTGTTGGATTTCCTTAGAAGACTGGAATTGCACGGATGTGGTGGGTGGTGAGTGTAATCTGAAATATTTTAGAACACAGTATTCAGCGAAGAAACTCTTTTCAACGAATTTATTATCAAGCTGTACAACCGTATATGGTCCTAGTCTCTTTTTTGAAAAACAAAGATAGGGTTTCTTAAGTTGAACTGCAAAATATTAGAGGCCGAAAATTCAAATGTTCTAGGAAAGACATAAATCTCGTGCATCAATGGTTCAATAGTAGGATGCTCACCAACCACGTACCTGTGTAGGGGATTGTCTAGCGAGATCAATAACAAGTATGTGAATAAAAATCCAAATTATTTAGATTATAGTGTAACAGTATATTATAAAAATACAGTAATGAGTTATATTAATTAAACGGTTACTTGCAGATACAATTAAAGTCCTCTGCTACAAATTATTAATATAAACCACAGAATCGTTCACTGCTGGAATCGTATCTACTGGTAGAAGCTGTGTACCGGTTGTAGAATAGTCTTCCGATGAGAATAAGAGGTTCCTGCAAAAATCCAAATTATACAACACGGTTATGAGGGAAGCAAGTAGACAGTATAGAACAGTGAGAAGACGAAACGACCAACAGTAGTACGCTGTATTTTAGATTGTACTCGGAACTTATATCTACATTCCAACATGAATCCTTTTTTTAAATAAGAGTCATGCACAGTGTCTCGAATTTCAACATCTAACAAAAAAGTGTACAATCATACTGTTATGTAATCCACACGTGTTTCAGGTTTCATTTCCTAGCCGATTCCAACTTGAACCATACCTAATTTATTAGCTTGTAGTAAACCTGGGAATAAGAGAAGGTTGGGCGTGAGGCTAACAACTTCATACTGTAAAATGTAAACAGCACAAACACCACTGTTACTTCACAATGGGAGGCTCCATATTCCACTCAGAAAGTAAAGGAATGAAGAAAAAATAAATCCCCTGAAAACAAACTCAATTGCATAAACATCTATAGTTGTCTTCACTTTTTCATAACCCCCTCTCCAGTAAAAAAAATGCAATTAATAATAAGACTATGTTGCTTTTAAACTCATAGATAGTACCATGAAATTAATAATTACTATCAAAGTTTGTTACCATGCGCCAACTTGAAAAAAAACGCTCTCGTGAACACTATCCAGCCTGGCTAATAAAAGGAGATCGAAAACGTGTATATAGTTCAGTGACAGAACAACTGGTCAATTCAGGACATTCGGTGTCACTCGAAAAGTCCTTCAAAATCATATATAAGATCCAATCAAACCTATCAAAGGGAGCAAAATTGAGACAACTTGGCATAGCCAGGTCACTAGCCATCCAAAAGCTCAAAGCCACGCTTTGTATCCAAAAGAAACACGTCCAACGCTTGTCACTTCTATGGCCATCATAAACAGGTAATTCTTATAATAGTGACTATCCCATTACCTTTCTTATCCAAACTTCCTGTTTATTCATGTTATTTTTATTTTTGCTTAATCCCTATTTACACTACCATATTTTCATATCCGAACATCCTGTCTATTTTGTCATTTTATCATTTCTACATATTTAATCCCTGATTGCATAAACAATTAATCGTAACATTAGTTATGATCCCACTAGGTTTTTCATCCAAACATCCGGTATATTTTGTTATTTCTACATTTCTAATCCCTAATTGCGCAATATGTCAATCTCCTCAGTAATTATGGTGCTACTTTGTTTGAGTTTTATCCGCCCCCTCCTGTTTATTATGGCATTTTAATTCCTAATTGTGATTTTATTAATTAGTCCCTTGACCAGAAATTATTCTGGAACTTTCCCATCCATTTATTATATGAAGTACACGAATGTACAGCCTTGTTGATGACTTCGCTGCAACCGTCTTTTTGTTACTTTCTATAAATGCTGGTGTGAATATTAAACTGAAAATTATATTGAAACTCACCTAATTTTAGTATCATCGTAATCTGATAAAATTGTGCACATTTGTATGTGATGTAGGCATCATTTTTGGCAAGATCTGTGATAAGGAAGAATAAAAATTAGTAATACTTAGCTGTCAAAATTGGTGTTTCAATGTTGTATTGATCGAAGTTGGAGTTTATTAATGGCATAGTTTGTTTGTTCTGAATGAGATGGCAAATTTTCATTTCGAACATTGTTGTTATATTTCTTTCTCTTTTTTCAACATTTCAAATAGATGCACAGCATAGAAATGA